ATTTTAGCTTTAGACTAGAAGTGTTAAGCATTCTGGATATACTTCACTGAACCTCAATCAAGATTTTTACAACTTCTAGTTGGTGTCATCACCTCCTAAATATTGTAGACATTGCAATGACAAGCTGGATGAGCTCTCTAGGCTTTGTGGTAGGCATAAGTCCACCTGGAGAAGTAACTAACAGTATATATCACAAGTATGTATGGTCGCCATCATTAACAGTTAATAGGCAATATTTTCTATAAAGTTTTAAAAGTGGCAATTCCCTGTAAATGTTTCCTACTGAGACCTGTAATTCTTATTCCATGTGTTTATTATTTTTCTTTAGGTACAAGAAAAAGGTAACCAGTTATTAAGAGATGTGAGGTGTAAACCTACAGTTATGGTTGTCAGAGACAATAAACAGCGTCAAACATTTGCGAAAGGTCTGATTAGTGTTTATTGAGCAAAAGCCATACCATACATTTCCAGTTTGTTACAAATAACCACCTGTGTGTTTTGTACCAATATCCCAATATAAATGTGTAATTTTCCCATTTAAAAATTCATAAAAAAGCATGGAGATTAAAAATTATGAATTAATCTGCCAAGTAAAAATTAATTTAATAATACAAGTAATATAGGGATTTTTTTGTCTTTGAAGATACATTAAGAAAAAAATTATAAAGCATAAGTAATAACTACACCATAAAAAATACATGCAAACATCCTGTAAATAAGTAACAAATGTGAACATATATTTTTTGTATTTGGCTCATGCAGTTTTTTATTTATTCCTTACTTCTCGTAATTTGCAGGGCTATTCACAAAAGGGTGAAGAATTTGGAGAAGGCAGGAGAAGTGAACAATCTAGGCCAAAATCGCTAATTTGGAAAAATTCTCCAATTCAGCTCACTTTCCAGTTCAGCAATGTTGATCTAGATTGTTTACTTCTCCTGCCTTCTCCAAACTCTTCACCCTTTTGTGAATAACCCTGTTAAAGGTGATGCATTTAAACCTGCCTTGATCAATGAAAGGAACTTTATTTTAAAAAATCTGCTTTGATTAAAGGAATTTAATTCAATTCAATGCGCAAGTGCACCAACATTTAGTTATCAAAAGGTGGGTTTTCTAACCATTGCTGACTAAACTATTTACTTTTTTAAACATGTTATGGATTTGTGAGCCCTGCTGAATAAATATATATAATTCTTGAAAAGTAATTGTATGACATTTGAGACACATGCAGGCTATATCATGCTTTTCAAACCTATTGCTATGTGGCTACAAAACAGCCAGACCCATTGCTGAATAACCATGTTTTCAGTTGACATATGGCCCCTTTAAAAGATCTTTCCATATTTAATTACACATTTTGTTTTTGGATAGAGTAGAGAAAGGGTAAAAACCTCTGTTTTTTTAATCACAATGAGAATATTTTCCTTCACTTTGTGTCCTGGAGACATAGAAAGGTCACTCATCTGACCAGGTGTGCCCATTGGAATATTTTCGCCTTTATTCCAGTTTTGGTGACAAATGTATTACATTTTCCATTACTTTCTGTCTCTTAAAAATATAGTGGGTCAATCTTTCCAGTGGGGACAGAGACACCAAATAAAAATGAAAAGGGGTTTTAAAATGTCCACAATATATATATATATTAATAAGTAAAATAAAAAAAACATTAAAAAGTTTAAGAAATTAACTTTTCAAACCCATGCATGCATTTTAATATAATAAATCCTGCAAATGTACAATTTTGTTTACAAAATACAATAATCATATTATATAGTTAAAAAATTAAGAGATGTAGGAAGCAACATTAGCAGCAAAAAAACAGTATAGCAATTTCAGAGGCAATAATAGCAAATATTTTAATTTCTTTCATACATATTGTAATATTACACAAACATAATAATCTATGTGAATTTCCAATTGGTAGTCCTTCAATATACAGTATATGCGATGGTCCTGAGGTGCAAGGCTCTAGCAGACAAATACAGTAACCTACAACAATTTGCTTTACTGAAGTCAGATCAGTTGGTGGCTATGAGTAATTAAGTTACCCATAGCATACCCAAGCACTTCCATTAACATTTTGCACTGTGCTATAAACAAGTCCAATAACATGTAGTCCAGTCCCTTCTATCAGTTTAAAACTGATATTTTTTTTCTTGTTGATAGTCATAAACAATCTGTTCAGCATGACCATGCATCTGTTAAAGCCCCTAATATGGATGTTTTAGCCTGATGACTTTTACAATATAATTTGATTCTGCGTTTATTTCTACTTCTGCCACAATCTCACCTTTTGGCATACCTGAACCCTGCACCTATTAATCCCATCCTATCCCATAATGATATTCATTGTTTGAAAATGAGTTTACTGATCTGCACATTATAACCAAAGTCATGATCTATATAGAAAAATGACAAAACAACTCAGGATTTAAATGTATGTGTATTTTTATATTAAAGTTATAGTTAATAGCATGGTTACTTCATATTAAAGCAAAAACAAATGTGGTAAGCGCACTACTGAGGATGTGAATTGATATAAGTAATGGTGTAAGGTGTTCAGTCTCCTGAACAGGTAGAGGAACCCTGTATACCAATTGAACAAATAAAAACACAAAAGAAGGAGCGCTACTACCAAAAATTAAAAGTGAGCGGAATGAAGTGAAACTTCGGGGGTTAGATAGTGAAAAGTTTTTTTTGTTCTCCTTTCTGGCTTGACAAAGAGGCATAGCCTCGAAACGCGTAGCCCATACAATTTATTTAGTGCTCCGCCCGAGAAGGAGCACTTTGCAGCCGTGATTATACTCACCATCTCCCCCACAAAGTTTCACTTCATTCTGCTGACTGCGGCAGCTCAACATCTGCAACAGAGCGGCGGCACTGACTTTTTCCCACACAGCCGCCGCTGCTCAGCCTGGCCAGCTGAACACGCACACTACCATCTACATCTGCGGAATTGCTCAATCTAAATCACAGCTGCCTACACAAAATCCAGCCAGAGGCTTCGCGATCTACCAGCCTTCTTCCATTGTTCCACCCTTACGACCACGCAGGAATTCTGTCCACAGTATAACCAATGCTGTCAAGTATTACTACCTCTGTCCAACAGTGAGTCAGCCGCCACTTCTTTCATATATGGTATCTATGGACTACATCCAACTAACAACCACTTTTAATTTTTGGTAGTAGCGCTCCTTGTTTTGTGTTTTTACTTAATATTAAACCTATTTTGCTTTTCTGAAATAATTACTTTTTTTCTATAAATCTATACAAATGACTTCCTATACTTTATTTGACTTCTGTTTAAAACTTTACTTTCTCATCTTGTGTATATTAACTGAACAAAAAGAGTTGCATATATAGTATTAAGTAGAATGTGTTAAAAGATGATAAGCAATACATTCAACTTCTATAGAAAAAAATAAGTAGCCCATAGGATGGGTGTAATTGAATCCCAGGAAGTTCCTGTTTAGTGTATGGATGTGTAGACCCTCTGCAGCGAACAGACTGAGAACTAATCTGGCCGGATGACCGAGGACACAGGTTAACACAGAGAAAAATCTGTGTTATCATCACTGCAAAATACAATAAATGTTGCTAATGGGGTGAGAAGGATAACAGGCTGCTAGAGTCTATATTAAATTAGAGAGAGATACATTCAAGCCATCAAGGCACGTGAGGGACAGGTTAGCGACCCCAACTTGCAGCCACAGCTTGTTGGTATTTAAATACTTCAGATCAGTAAAACATTGGATAAAAATAATACATTTTTTTTTTCATTAATACCCTGTATGCTTCCTGTTGGTGTGATGCAGTAAAATATATACACAAATAATGTAATTTTAAAATTAAAACATTTGAGCGGATATGTAGTTTCCCAGAGGTTAAAATTATATGTTATTATAAGCATGTGAAAGTAAAATTGATATGTATACTACAGAGGAGGTTAGCAGAGACATTTTAAAAGGGTTTCTACAACCCACAATGAAAAGATAAGGAGCAGATCAGATTACTTATTATCAGCTCCTGTCTACCAGTCTATTGTTGTTCCCTGTTTCATTTTATCCTGAGCAGTTATGTTTTAAAAAGAACATTTTTTGCAACCATACAATTCATTTACTTGAGATCAATGCTATATTAGTTCTTTTTAAGTTAAACTCCAGGCAAACAGTAAAATATAGAAATCAAATACATAAAAAGCAGCGGTTTTACCTGCCAATAAACGTGTATTTTGTCCATCCAAATCTGAGATTTACACAGTCTTGGCTGGCAGTGAATGAGACCTGATTTTTCACTGCTGCAGTTCAGTAACAGGTCTTTTCCCTGCCCTGTGACATGACAGTGAAAGGAGAAGAAGCACAGTAATGATCACATCTCTCTGTCACTCTCATATGCTCTCTCCTCATATTAGCATGCTGTTTGCAACTGATGCACAACTTATTGGCTCCTTGTGCTTCTTCTACTACTGTACAGGCATTGCAAGTCAAACTGAGGTACTTGCATTAACTGCACTGCTTGCATTAAAAAAATACAGGATTTATTTTTAATTACAGAGCTATATTAATTTGTGCATTTGGTATTTGCCCAGAGTTGAGCTTTAAATTCCTTATAGAAAAACGTAATGAACAAAGAAAAAAAAATTAGAGAACTGAAAAAAGTAATAGTTTCAAATCATAATTTAAATTTAATACTATAGTGGTTTCTTGGTATATGTTTTTTAAATATACAATTTATTGGTTCGCAGAGTCCAATGATTAGCATTTAATTAAGCTATTACACTTAAAATGAAGTTCCTACACTTAGCAACTTTTTTTTGCCTTCTCTGTGATAGACAGAGATGAACATGTAATTGTTTTAATTTGATTGTGCTTAAGATCTGGACTATTCATTGTATCTTCATTGCAGAATCAGTCTAAAAAGAATTTCACAAAGCACATTCTCCTGTTATAAAAAATATATCTTCTACCCGTTTTTTTGTTGGCTGATCTTCGAGTGGCGGTTAATTACATTGTTTCTTCTATTTCATTTCTGTTGCTAACTTCTGTACTCATTTGCCTTCGCGGTCTTAATGTTTCTTTCAAGGATATATCATCAACTTGCTTTTCTTCCTCCTCATTGGCTTCTTCCTGAATCCACTGTGGTAAGCAGTCTTGATCTGAATTACTTCTAACGTACCCAGGCAAGTTCACATGTCCATCAGCTTGTTTGCTGACACTTCGATTGACTTTGCTGGAGATTAACACCATACGCGAACTGGTTACCATATGTGACTGGCTGCTAGTGCTGTGGGTCATATTTGTCAAGACAGAGCCATACCTGAAGTTCCCACAGTGTGTTGTGCTTTTCCAATCAAAAGCAAGGTTCCATCTGGTCCATGTTTTCTTAATTTCTGTCTGCACCTAATATTGGAAGGAATTGAACATATTTAGTTGCTTGGTTGTAATATATAGTCATATAGTTGAAATAACCTAAAGCATACTGAGAGGAATTTATCAAAACTGGACCAGACAAAATCTGGAACAGCTGTGCACAGCAACCAATTAGCTTCTCTCTTTCATTTTCAAAATCTTAACTGAACAAACTTAAGAGTGAAGTTGATAGGTTGCCATGGACAACTGCTCCAGATTTTGTCTGCTCCAGTTTTGATAAATCCCCCCTACTGTAGCTAAACCCAAAAACAGAAATGTAATATATTGCAGCTTACAAGTACTTAGATGTGATAGCTGCATTAGTTTTCTTTAAGTTAGCTTTTCATTAGTTTCTTTCAGGCTAAGAACATTTTCAGCAAGTAGAGAAATAGCTGTTATTTTTGCCATAGATGGCGTGTACTTGTTACTTCTTGTGAGCTGAACAGATAGCAAAAGAACCTTATGTTTCTTATGGACAAGAGCCTCCATGTAACAGAGATCAGCAATGACAAGCATGTTTGAAGTCTAGCCTGGGTGGCAACCATGACTCCCTCCATAGATACAGGGAAGGAGTAAACATCCATGGACAGAAAGTATGTTATATACAGGATTATCAGGTGACAATAAAGGGAAGAAAAAAACCCCCCCCCCCCCAAAAAAAAAATGTAGCCACCACAACTAAGAACTAGTAGCTGCTATTTATGACATTTTTGGTTTTGGGTTTAGATATGCTTTAACGTTACGCCTATAACAAGAAAGTTTCGAATATGAAAGTAATATTAAAGTCTAAAGGTTTTTAAGCTTTTTCAAATTCTGATGAAGTCACTTACAATGGATGCTGCTCCTTGAAGTTAAAGAGTTTTAGGGTGGCTCCTTTCCCTTGCAGGGTCCTATGGAGCCACCCTTGTGTGTGCTAGTTAGCCGTGTGTGTCTCCAGAAACACACAGGCACAGCAAGGTAAGCCACTTCCCTGCTCCCAGCTCCCTGCTCTTCCATTCCCCCTTCCATGTTAGTAGATAGACAGCTGCTGGAAATTGTGCTGCCCCCTTGTACAGGACAGGAAGTTTGGGGAAGTTGATTTGACAGGGCTGGAGCCATCTGTTCAGATACATGATCACTGTAAGTGCTTGGGCAAAAATTTAAAAAAATACTTTACTGGGCAATGTATATTTGTTTGATCTGGATTCATTATTGAAAAAAAGGTTTGAGACTTTAATATTACTTTCATTAGCAGCTAAAAGGTAAATTATACCTTGCAGATTTGTACAAAGGAAAAAAACGTTTAGAAGAGTGAAATTAAACTGTAACTAACTCCTTAACGTGTAGATCCACTTGTCCTGATACTCAAAATAGAGCTAATTTCAGTTGATTTATTCAAGTGGTAGAGATTGTTAACTTAGCAAAGTACATGATTTCTTAAAAAAAAATGAATATTAACTTGTATTAGTGAATTAGATGAAGCTATAAAAACCTAGAATAACCATTCACATTTTTTGGTGCACCAGACAGGATAATTGAAGGGAGCACAATTCAGTCTTTCGAAATTATATCAATACTTCAGGGGACATTGTTTGGAACTGCACAAGTACAACCCTTTGTAAGAAGAAAGTAAACTGCTGATAGAATTGGAACTACATAGAAATGTCTGAGAATGTTTAATAAACTCATATCCGACATCAGTTCTTGTTCTCATTTGACATTTTGACAGGATAGCCAGTGATGTGAATGAAAATGTAAGCATTTCATAACGTCATAACCTCACACTGTATTCTGTTTTCTCAGCACCAGCACAGCTATAAATATATATATATATATATTTTCTGTATCCAAGTTATTAGAAAGCTCATAAAGACAGTTCTTTCATATTCGTTTATCTAGCAGAGATCAATTATTTAAAAAGAAATATATGTTTATACATGTAGGTATGTTTATCAATTATTTGTGAATAAATATGAGTAGAATGCCTTGACATAGATTTCATAATGTGAAAATGATCCTGGGCTGCTTTGTTACATTTTGTGAAAAAAAAAGAACTCACAAAAGAATAAAATACCTAATGAATAGTGCCGCTTCTTCAGATTTCATGATTTATGTCTTTCACCCACCCACTTTCTTTTTATACTGCTTGCAATTCAAGTCTACTGTAATGGGGAAACTGCTTTAACACATTTAAGGAGTCTATCACTTTATATCTTGTTTTCATCTATTTCTCCAGGCAACTTTTTTTTATCATGTCACCATTATGCTTATACCTTTTCTCTAAGTTACAATGCACATATAATTTGCACAATATCTGTCAGACTGTCATTAACAAGCAGCAGCTGAGGGTGCCAGCCCTTTGATTGCAATCCTGCTATCTTAGCTCCACCACTTTTTCTGTCTCTTTGTATATAGAAATAATTTTAATTCTTTGTTTTGTAATTTCCAGTAACAAACTTTACATTTCTTGGCATCTGTAAATATTTACAAACAATCATTTAGAATATAGCATTTTACAGTCTAGGATAATGCATTGCAATCATACTTAATGCACAGTTTTAGCACAACACAGTTTATCTAGTTCAATCAAGCAAGTTTGTATAATTTTTTTTCTTCTGTCCCCTGAGACCATTGGATTTTCTACCATCTGTCAGTCTGCTAGTTTTATTACGATTGACATCTGCAGAAATGTTAACACATAGAACAAAATATATCAAAGGAAGCATTATCAACATAATTTTAGATGTTTTAGCTCCTGGTTCACAATGCCTTTTATGAAACTTCCCTATAATACTATACTAAATCAAAACATGTCCTTATAATAATATATTTTTTGCTTACCACTTTATGTATAATACATGTTATAATTTATACCCATAAGTAGTACACAGTAAGAGAAAAGAAGCACAAAAAATATAACATAGAATTTGCGGCACAAAAGAATACATAAGTAAGCAATGTACAATACAAATGCAACTTGCATGTATCTAGGAATATACAATTACAAATCGTAATCATCCATTAGAAATCATACAATAAGCCCTGAATGTCATATGTGAATGTACATGAAAATATAAAAAGGGGTTTCTGGCAGGGTGGGCCAAGGCACCCCACATTTGCCCAAATGTGCACACAGTAAAAACAATATAAAATAACAGAGCTATGCAATTTGTCCAGTAGCACATATTAAAAAGAGAAGAGAGTCTATAGAATAGTAGAACACATATTGTAGAGAAGCCAGAGAAAAGGGAGAGGAACCCATAAAATGTGAATAGAAAAAAGGGGGTGAAGGGGGGTGTAATGAAATTGACTCCAGAATCATCCATTATAGGGTCAGATTGAAAGAGAAGCCAACCAAGTGCCCTAAAATAGGGTGCACCAGAAGGCCTTGTAGGTTAGTGGTCAGGACTTAAAGTAATTCCTTTAGAACTAGGCAATAGGGTAGGTCCCAGAGATACATTTCACCTTGTAGATTAGGTCACATTCCTTTTACACACTCACTCTGCTATACAGTAGATAGGAGCCTTCAGTTCTCCATTGACTTGCAATAATGGTACGTGCAGCTGACATCAAATGACATACAAGATCCTTTGTAATTAATTTATAGGATCCTGGTAGTATAGACAACAGAGTGATGCAAAGGTCAGGTTGGAGGATCGTACCCATGATCTTATTATAAATTGCAAATATTTTATTCCAAATGTGAATGATTAAGGGGCACAGTCCCCAGATATGACGCATAGTTCCCGCTCCATGTAAACACCTCCAGCAATGGTCTGATGCCTCAGAATCAAAAATATGATTCTTGCAAGGGAATCCATACTTCCTGGAGATGATCTTATAGTTACATTCTAATGTTTGGCGGATAAGGACAATTTGTATGTCAAGGAGAGGGATTTATTGGGACACATAGGATGGTCTCTGCTTCTGCGTTAGGTATCACTCAGTAAGAGGTCTCTGCAAAACATTAGAAGATTTAGGAGAGGAAAGAAAAGTAGATGGCTGAAGCCAAATAAGCCAAGTGAACTTTTGGAAACTCAATAGGGTGAATAAATAGAAAAAGGGGGTAACTTACCTTCACAGGGTTTGAACAAGCCGGATGTTGTTAGAACTAGACCCATCAGAAAAGTATATGCAATGGAAGGGGCAGGATTTGAAAACAAAAGGGTCATAGCGCCCAACTACAAAGATAAAAGTTCCTTCCCAAGGAGGGGAATCCTTCCATGGTGGCTCTGAGGAAGGGGGCTTGTCCCTGACAAGTGTTCAGCCTTGATATACTGCAGATCTAAGCAGTCAGCATATGTTAGCTGCATCATACAAAGAACTGCAATGTGCTTAAAACTAATCCTTAATTACCCTATACCACATACACATCCATCTATAAACAATTATTGCATATATATATTGCCAGATGTCTACACATATACAGATGTCAACATATACAGTATATAACACATATATAACTTAAACCCCTTAACATATATTCAACCAGTGATCACATATAGTGCTCATAACAGATTATTCAGTCCTCTTATCATAAATTGTGCCCCTTTATCCATGTGATCCAAACGCTGTGGTTTATCTCCTATATGCAATAAATATATGTGATGGTCCATAATTTCCTCTGATGATCTCTGCTGTGTTTAGAACACAACTGCCATTTTCTGACCATCATATCAATGAATGGTCAAGGGTTGCATGGTATGGTGGTGTTTTCTTCTGTCCTTCACCTTCACTGTCCAATTTCTCTTGTTCAGTATTCTCCCTTTTTGGTACCATCAGTGTGTCACATGATCTCCTTTATCCTTTATTACTAATATATATATATATATATATTTCCACCAGGTTCAAAGAAAATACAAAAAGATGCTCAAAGTGTAGCAAGTTTAAAAACCACTGTATTTAAAATAGTTTAAAAGCACTCACATGAATCATTAGTGTAACATACAAAGCTCCATGCACTCACTGCTTCTTGGTTGTGATAGTTTCTCACTTCCATCTGAATGTTTTTCCCTTCCGTTGGAACCTAATGATGTCAGCATGAACCTGCCTATCTGATGCGTTTCATCACTCTGGACTTCTTCCTAGGACCGCGAAATAAGCTGTAAATGGTGCAAAAAGTATATGGAAGGTCTGATATGTCCCACAGAATCACCAGCTGTCCATTATAGTGAACCTGTAGCTGAAATTGGAAGCCCGAAAGATATGGGATATCAGAGCTTTCATCAGGGGCTTGGCTGCTCTTCACAGGGCAAATGTTTGTCTAGATAAGTCAGGCAAGAGAGAAATATGAGTGCCATCAAAGTCAATAATTTGTTTCTGTCTAACCAGAGCCATGATATCTTTCTTCAAACGAAAATAGAGTTAGTGGCACATTACATCCTGAGGCCTATTGCGATCAGGATTCCTCAGTCCCTGTGGTCTCTATCAAAAAGTAGGTGTTGATCTGGTAATCTATCCAATAGAGAATTAAATACATGCTGGAGAGCCGGGATCAGATCTTGAGGGCCTGTAGCTTCCGGTAAGCCTCTTCCGGGGATGTTATTTCATAGATTCTTATTCTCCAGGTCATCAATGGAAAAGATAGCATAGTTTAGTCTATGGGTATGTTTTCGACACAGAGCTGGCACAGTAGCCAGTCTGGTTTGCAAGATTGCCTGTCTCTGCTGCAATGTAGAAACAGTGGCCTGTGTTGGCAGACCATTCTCTCCTCTTCGGCTGTATCTTCGGCTCAGCCGAAGCATATGCGTTTGGCTGCTGTAGGGGCTATTGTGAATAGCCCCTACAGCAGCCCTTTGGTTCGGCTGAACTGAGTGCTTCTCGTGGGCCAAAGGATTAGCCAAAGGTTTGGCTTAATCCTTCGGCTCCTTAGTGAATCACCCCTATGTTACTGCTAAGTCCCTGAGTGAATATTTATTTTTAATATTAAGAACTAAATGTAACATTCAAATGGCAGAATGTTATTATCATCATCAAGATTTTAAAACATGTTATCATCAACTTTATTTGTTTTCAATGACAGAGTCTCCAAAAGCAGAACTGCCATGGGAAATCAAATACATTTGACAGTTTTAATAATTCTAAATATCTACTGACAGGGAACATGTAAGAAATACTTATAATCCCTTGTTTTATACAGTAGCAAGAGCCAGAGACAATATTATTTCTTTTTTTAAGTTTCCCCTTAAATTGTTAATTCAGATTTGCATGCTTGAAGTGGATGCTTGCTTCATATATCTCTCTCTTTATTGGACATCCACTGAATTTAAAACATCTCCAAGATGCTGAGGAAGCCGGCACCAATTCGACTCTTACACAAAAAAGATGTCATGGTCCTTCATGTCATGATTTGTACACAATATTGGACCAATAAAATTGAGGGGAAAAGTAAACGCTTGGCAAATTTTTGCAATCGACAAGTTTGAATTTTCATCTAACAATATGGATCAAAAGCAGTATTTTAACAGTAGAGATAACATTTAATTTATACAGGATAGCAAATTTCACTACTTATGTATCATCTATGATGTGCAAGAAGGGTAAGAGCATGTTAAAATATAAAGCTAAGATAAAAGAAATGAAAATGATTTGTACTTTTGTGTACGTTTGCCGTTTTGCATTTAATTCAGATTAAAAATCAGAAATAAAATGTTAATGGGATCTTATGAACTCAATGGTAAACTAAACTGCATGTAACTATGGAAGAGTTTAAATACACCAAAACATTTTTTATGGCTGGAACCCAAGACACCTTGCTTCAGCAGGCAAGTGTTTGCCTAACAATGTTGAAAAAAGAATCCCATGTGTTCGACCCATAGAATTGTTTTCCTTATGCTTTGAATGCTTCACACACCTAGGTTTTCACATACAGAAATGTATATTGAAACCTCACAAAAGATATACTAGTGAGCCACTTGTAAACTCTTCCAGATTACCCCTTATCTGTCAACTGTTTCCCAAGGCCAATTTAACATGAATCATTAGCTTTAGCCCTCATATAAAGGATACTGCATTGCGTATATAAAGTAGATATATACTACAGGTCGGTGGCTGTTTTGCACATGTAGTCCTTCCTTCCTTCTTTTTGCTTCCCTTCCTTCCTTCCCTTCCTTTCCCTCCCTTGGTTTCTTTCCTTCCCATCCTTACTTCCTCTTGTCAAAATGCTTTTTCAATTACTTTACATGTTATACTTTTAAAATTACATCTTACCTCTCCATTGCAGTAACAATAGATTATTGATACGAAGAAACCCTGTAAAAAAACAAATACTCTATTAATGAAAATTGATATGAAAGCCATGAGCACTGTAACATTAAAGTATATTAACATATTATAATAAAAATAAAGTTTTAATATTGCATAGGCACCTACAGGTAGAATTTGTTTTATTATCAATTACAGCATACAGGAGACTGATATACTAAAGCCAAGAACTTTAAAGAAAAGCTCCGGGATTTTTTATTAACCCTTGCAGTGGGGCTACCACCTCACTGCAAGGGTTAAGTGCTTGTTTGTGTCTAGCTGCTAAAAAAAACAAAGTTATACTCACCCAAAGCTCCAAGCCAGCCAGCTGTCACAGTGCCCCCTCAAGCATGCTCCATGCTGACCAGCTGTCACAGTGTTCTTTCATGTCTTTCTCCCCCTCCCTGCAGCATTGGAATCTTCCTCAGCATCCTCACGTCTATACACTGTGTATAGACATGATGATTTATGGGTAGACTACTGCAGAGAAGGGGAGATATGCTGGAAGGAATGGGCTAAGAAGAAGCTTCCTCAGAACTTCAAGTGAGCATAACATTTTTTTTAACCTAGACACAATGAGCGCTTAACCCTTGCAGTGCGAGGGTAGCCCCAATGCAAGCACTGCAATGGTTAATAAAACAAATTCCTGGAGTTCTTCTTTAAAGTTAACTTGGCCTTGACTATGCACATTAAAGTATTAACATAATCTTACCAAGCAGTAAAAGTACTTCAAAACAAGCCATTATTTAACTTTGTAGTTAAAGGGATTGTGGAACAATTCAACGTCATAGTTCACAGCAACAGCATGGTTTTTCTATGGGCAGCAGAATATTGAATTTCTCATATAAACAAACACCACCTGTTTCTAAACTGTTAGAAACTGACTGAAACCCTACTTTAACCACTTCAGCTGTCACAACTGTACACCCCCTATGGTCCAATCGCTGCAGCAAATTTTACATATCTGCTATGGGTTTTATTTGGCAATCACTTTGTCATTCCTTAAGATAAAAAAAAATAATACATATATCTTTTTTAGGACAAAACAAGGCTTTTTTGGGATATTTTCTTGCAAAAATTATTTTATTTTTTATGCAATTCATGGACAAAAAAGTTATAGAACTAAAAAAAAAGCACATACTTTATCTACTTTGATCAGTGTTAGCTAAAAAAATATATTACTACACATTTGTCTTTTTGTTTAAATTACACTAAAATTATGATTCTGTCAGAAAGCATTGCAAAGTTATTTACAAATGAAATACAGGCTTTTAAAATGTGACACATTAAAATTAATAAGTAAAAACATTTAAATGAAAAAAAGTTTTAATATTAATGGTTATACAAATGGAAATAAATAAACCATCAGGAAAATAATAGTTAAGAGGGGAAGTGATTAATTAGGGATCATTAGGATTAGCTAGGTCTAGTAAGGGGTTAAATAAAAACAAGTTTTATTTAAAAAAAATTACTTGTCAGATTGCTTTAACTGTCATCGTATGCAAAGGGAATCCCTTTGATCTGCAGATGAGTGAAACTGAGTAAATACAAGCATAGCGATGTTACATCATCTCTCTATCTCACATCTGGATCATCTTTATAAACACTGTGTCAGTCAGTTTTTGACAGCAAAAGCTATTAGAGCTGCTTTTCGTATACATTAGCACATTGACAGCTGGGAATTGATGATAAATGTGAGGGGGGAGCAGAAGGACAGGATGTACTAAGGATGCTACCATGAAGTTTATTTGAGCATTTGTAACATATGTCCACAAGGGTAAAATATCTGTTTTACCTTTAGGGATTTATTACTTCACAGCACATGCAGCTATAGAGGTCAGGGATGGCTTGTTTTAAAGCTCTTTTACTGCCTGTTAAGAACTTGTAAATACAATAATGCTCATAGTCTACAAACAGGTGCACTTTGACTATTATTTACTAGACATGTGCACTGCCAAAAAATTTGTTTAGTTTCCTTTTAAATTCGGATTTGTGTTATTTCGTTTTTCGGGATTCGGGTGTGAAAGTCAATTCGGATTCGGAATTTGGATTTGGACGAAATTCGGTAGCGGTAGTTGGAACGTTCGTTTCGTTTTCTGTTCTTATTCGTTTCGTTCGTTCGTTTGCAGCAAAGTGACATTTGAGGGGGAAAACATATTTTTCTCCTTCTCTAATGTCACTTTGCTCCAACGAACGAAACGAATAAGAAACGAATAAGAACCGAAAACGAAACGAACGTTCGAACTACCGCTACCGAATTTCGGAAATGGAAATTCGGATTCGTTTGCATTCGTTATGTCTGTAATTCGGAATTCGGATACATCCGAATGTCCGAATTTCCGAAAATTTGTCCGAATTTCGATTCGGAAAGAAACGAATCGCACATGTCTATTATTTACAGCAGTACTATACTGTATATATTACCAGTTGGGATGTACTAATACCGATACAAGTATTAGTAGTAGTGCCAATACTGGGCATTTTCACAGTATTGGCAGTACTCGTGCTTGTAAAAATGCTCCAAAACTAAGCGCTGATACCAGTGCTTTACATTTTTAATCTGATTTGGCTGCCGTAAGGTCCCACGCTTGCTGGGAACCTCGCAGCGGCTGTTTACAGCACCAGTCAAGCCACACATCTCTTCCTTCCTGCCACCTGCACCCACCCGCACAGCCCTGGTGGGACCATGCACACAACCATGTTGAGACCCACACAGAGCCCTGGTGAGACCGTACAGCTCTGATGAGACCCTGCACACAGTCCTGGTGAGACACTGCACACAGAGCTGGTGAGACCCTGCACTCAGCCCTGGTGAGACCCTGCACGCAGCTCTGGTTAGACCCGCACGCAGCCGTGGCAAGACCCTGCACGCAGCCCTGGTGAGACCGCACAGCCCTGATGAGACTCTGCACGCAGCCCTGATGATGCAGCCCTAACTGCAAGATAACTGGCCAAGACCTAATCTAGACTGCCACATCTGCATTGTAATTAAATTTTTCTTATAATGCATGCATCCTATTATGCTGAGGGAGGGCTCTCTATGTGTATCTCAAGGTGTTATTTTGAATCATGACTGGCAGGGACAACTTCAGTGGTTGCCCCAGGCGGCATCTCACTGGGCCATGTGGGGGGTTGCCCACCGCCCCTTTTCCAGCCAGAGTGTTCCAGGTTGGTAGGCACTCTTAGCAACCTGTGATTCTTGGTCCATCATCCTCTCCAGTCCAGCTCACCGATGCCACTGGTGGCCAGGAGCTGAGCAGGCTCCTGGCCACCAGTGACATCAGTGAGTTTGGCATGATGCCAGAGTTATAGCCAGAGGTACCATGCACCACCAGGACCTGCCCATCCCTGCCCCAGTGCTGGATTTCCGTCAAGGCCACCAAGGCCTCGCCTCGGGAAGGCAGGCATTAGAGGGGCAGCATAGCCGCCGGGCGGGTTGATTTTTTTTCTACATTTAGCCCTGCTTTGTGCAAGCAGGGCTAAATGTACAGCTGCCAGTTTTGTACAAGCGATCTTGGCGATGTTGCCAAGATCAATTTTATGCAGCCTGCAGGTTCACCCCCACTCCATGGTCCGCTCTTCTGAGCGATCCAGGACCACGGCAATCACTGCAGGATGGAGAGCGGGGAGCAGAGCGAAGAGCCCTCCGTTCTCCGTTCTGCTCTGTGTAAACAGTGAGAGGGGAGAGCTGCACTCCCACCCTTCCCCTCTCAGCTGTCACAGGAGTTCCAGTACAGTACTGTGCTAGAACATCTGTATTGGAGGTGACAGGTTCCATAAAGCGAACACACAGAGGCTTGTTAGCTCCTGTGTGAGTGCAATAAAGTTAAGTAAAATATAAAATAAATAAAAAATAAAAAAAAATAGTAAAAAATAATTTCAAAAATAAATAA